TTGTCGACTTTGAACTTCAAACTGTGTGTTCCTACATTATAGTGAAACTTTTTCCGCTCAAGAAACAAGATGCGCCACTCCAGGTATTTAACATATATTGTTCCCCCAGACATAAAATTGTAACGTTTGCAGCACTCTTCGATCAGGCCCTGAAGGCTGCTGGCAGGGATCCCTTGGTGATCGTGTGTGATTTCAGAGCTCACAACACACTGTGGGAATATGTGCGTGATGAGAAGTGTCGGCGCAAGCTAGCGGAACTTGTGTCCACGCTGGGCTTTACTCTTCACACGGACCCTGCACATGCAACGTGGGTAGGTAACTCTGTGACTCGGGACACGTGTCCGGATTTTACCTTCACGAAAAACATTAGACATGCAGACTGGGCCGACACAGAGGAAACCCTCGGCAGTGACCACTGCATACTCAGCATCACCGTCACAAACAAACCAATGGCTACACCCTATGCCCCAGCGCGCATACCTGACTGGACAAAGTTTCGGAAAACCTACACTAATCTGGGCCCCATTCGCGAAACAGGTTACCACGCATGGTCACGATAATTGGTCACACCTTCGTTCAACAGGCACTTAAGCTCAACCCTGGGAGGCTACGCCGGGGGTGGACATTCATCTCCTTCACCTCCGGGAGGTGCGGCATAGCTTCGTCCGCAGATGGCGCCGCCAAACACACAATTGGAAACTCAAAATTCACATTTCTGAGCTCATACAACGACCAGCAGAGTACGCGGCCCAGTTTGCTGACTCGAATTGGGTAGACCGATGCGACACGGCTGGTAGACAAATGTCCAGCCGGAACACTTGGCGTCTATTTTGCGCCTTGATTGATCCGACCCAAACCAAAGCCGAGACACAAAACATCTCCAACGGGCAATCCATGCCTTCGACGAAGACACCTCAAAATTAGCATGCAAACTGCGAGATCTATACCTATATGTCCGACATGACACCCAAGAGCCAGCGCACTCATATGCAGGTTCCGAGTACGCGGAGCTTGATCAATCGTTCCAGCTCCATGACCTGAAGGCGGCCCTGACTAAAATGAAGCGAGGAACGGCTCCGGGGAGAGAAAAAGTAACCATGAAATTACTTCTAGACCTTCGCGACCCGGCCTACGACGCACTCCTCGGGAACATAAACTCAATATGGCTTGATGGGACGCCCTTCCAATCGAATGGAAGACCACCCTGGTCTTCCATTTTATTCAGAAAGCCGGCAACGCCATAAACACGGACAACCTTCGCCCCACCTCTCTCACGTCTTGTGCGGGAAAGCTGATGGACATTATGGTGCGAGATTGCTTTTCCGAGTTTTTGGAAAACCAACGCATATTTGCCGACACAGTGTTTGGGTTCCGCCCGCACTGGTCCACACAGGATGTCCTGGTTCATTTAGACCATGAAATTCTAAATCCTGTCGATTACCATTCTATTGACTTGGCAGTACGCGCCCTTGATTTGAAGGGGGCTTTAGACAACGTCACGCATGACATAATACTGAAGCACCTTTCCCAAACCAATTGTGGACACAACATGTTTCAGTACATTCGATAATTTCTCTCTGACTGACAGTCATACATCCGAATACAAGATGAAGAGCATGGTCCCTACCAATTAGGTACGGAAGGCACCCCAGAGAGTCCAGTCCTCTCACCCCTATTGTTTAATCTGGCTAAGATTAGGCTCCCGGATCAGCTGGATAATGTTGAAGGCATATAGCACGGCTGTATGGTGATGGTATTACCATATGGGCTAAACACGGCTTGGTAGGAGAAACAGGAGCTAACCTGCAGCAAGCGGCGGAGATCGTAGATGCCTACGCCCGCCACGGCGGCCTCCAGTGCTCCCTGACCAAATCGGAATTTTTGCACATACGCCCCTCGGCAAAGTGCACTACCAAAATTGAACTGTTCTTACGAAGTGAACCCATTCCAGAGCACCATGAGATCAGAGTACTGGGTCTGTTTATTCATTAACATCGCCGAGTCGATTACAACATTGACAAAACTGAGTAAGGTGGGGACCAAGTGGGCTTCATTGTCCGCCGGGTGTCCGACAAGCGCAGGGGGTTACGTTGCAAAGACGCCTTGAGGCTCGCGCATGCATTTGTAACTAGTCGAGTCCTCTACTCGACTTCTCAACTCCACCTGCGCAAGTTTGACGAGAACGCCCTCGAGGTGATTCTCAGGAAGATGTACAAGCATACCCTCAATCTCCCAATAACCACGTCCTACCAGCGGCCTATGGGCCTGGGGATGGCAAACACTTTTGCAGAGCTCCAGGAGGCGCACTTGATTAACCAATACACGACACTTTCGAACACTCCGTCGGGTCGCCACCTATTAATTAGCCTGACTACACATCCACCACCCAACAGAGACGGAAGAGCGCGTACGCATCCCAGAAGTCTGGAGATACGCCTTGCACGTGCACCCTCTTCTGGCCAACGCGACACGTGACGACCATAATAGGAGGCACCTTCCACGCGCGGAGGCACTAGCCCGCCACTATGGGAACAAACACAACATATTTTACGAGGATGCCTACGGCCCTCACCATGACGGGTGGTACACGAATGCAGTCGTCCGACAAACGATCATGGTGTATGGTCTCAGATTCAGAGCACAGGACATAACACGTGCGAAGAAGTCGCCATTGCGCTAGCTGCAGCAGACCAGGACTCGCGTGTCATCATTACCGAATTGAGAGGGGCCTGCGAAAATATTCAACGCGGGTACGTCCCATACCTGGCGTACTGCATCTTAAAAAATAGTTATTACGGCGGGGCCCCCACATCCCGTAGCATCGTATGGGCTCCAGCTCACACGGGCTTCGAAGGCAATCAAACGGAAGACGCCGCTACCCACGCACTCACTCTACGAGTAGCGTTTTCAGACCTTTCCGGAATGGTTCCCGAACCTAATCCTGCATCAACATTTTGAGAAATTAATGAACTCTATCGATTCGGCCACGTGATTTATAATAAACCATGTAAGGGCCTTACAAAGGCAGAGGAACGCTTACTCCTCCACCTGTGCACCCAAACGATGCTGTGCCCAGCGGTTTTCAAGTATCTTGATCCTGCGTGTACAGGAAAATGCCCGCACTGTGCGGGGAAGTACTCTGACATCATCCACATGGTGTGGGCGTGCCAGTGAACTCCGTACCTCACCCCAAAACTAAACCCCACCCGGCAGGACTGGGAGGGAGCCTTGCTCAGCTGTTCAGATCTGGCGAGCCAGAAGGCCCTGGTCAACTGAGCTCGAGTCGCGTTGGCTGCAAATGAACTACTATAACGAGAAGCCCACCTAGTGTGCGCGAGGGATGGCCCGCAGCGGGCCATCTTCTTCCTACACCCTGTAATTTTATATAAAGTTTTTTTCTCTCTAAACCTTGAAGAGCATACCAATTTTTCTGCAGGACATCGTACAAAGCACCTCGTGGTCAAACGCGTCGCCATGTGACCTTGTAAGACGTCGGATGTTGTTTTGCCCTCTCAGACACTGCTTAAGCCTGCGATAATGTCGGTTGTGTGGGCTTTCGTTAAGATACGCGGTGTGCTCAAGCTATACCACTTCGTGACTGAGAAAGCCTGACCATACTTGCCTATTTCTTATCTCAATGCACAGAGTGAGAGAAAACAGGAGTTGTAAATGCACCGATTGTTCCACGTTAGCCCACCGCTCCAAGAGATCGCTTGTAGTGATCGAAGATCATTGAATGTTTGATTGATTTGTGGGGTTTAACGTCCCAAAACCACTATATGATTATGAGAGACGCCGTAGTGGAGGGCTCCAGAAATTTCGACCAGTGATTGAAGATCATAAAGCCTTATGTTTCTCGTAAGCATGAGAATGCCTACAATGTAAACGCACGACATCGCACGTCGGCGTCTTATGACCAGTCGTGCGGAAGCGCTGGCATATGTCTACAACTGAATTTCGAATGTTTGCATACTCACAGTGCACAAACTAGAATAGTTCTGCGGCTGCCACTGGCCCCGCTTTATTTTCACAGTCCACAGGAGTCGTCTTTTCGTTGCTTAAAAAACGTTCTCCATTCATTTTAACTTTATTATAGCATTGCGCAGCGCAGCACCAAGACATTCTGCCCAGAGACTGCACGACGAGTGCTGCTTTCTGCAAAAGAGTCTGCACGAGCTGAAATCAATAAATTGGCGTCGAAGAATGAAATCCAATAAGTAACCTAAATTTTTCTTCAACACGCCCACCGATCATCTTGAAGACCATGAATTCGAAGCCACGAAGGCAATCCATGGCCCATTTTCGAGGCAGCGACAACACAACAAGAAAAGCATTTGCATACTATCAAACAGAATTTCACAATCAGGTACATGTGGACATCGGTACCATAAAAAGCATGATGGCAAGCAGAAAATAAAAAGCGCCGGCTTTGGCCGCACCAATGTCTGATGTGGGGACGCCGTGGTCATCCTGAACCAAAGTATGTTAAAAACAATTAGCATAAGTTACCCTCATTCAGCACAGAGGCAAAATATTTCTTGAAGTCATGCGGCAATCCCCTTCGCGAAGTGGCTGTTGGTCATTGTCACGCAATCAAATGGGCTGAACAATGTTTTTAGAGATACAAAATTTCTTTAGATAAGGTTTCCGTAGGGAAGGAAAATAATGGGAACAAAATTGCATTCTTGCATTTCGATTGGCGCAACAGTAGGTTTTTAAGCACTCGCGATAATGTTTTTCTCAAGCAGAGGACGCGGGTACATGTTTAGCTTTTGTGTAGAAATGCTTGCTTATAATACCATCACAAACGGGCAGTTTCCAGACGAAAGATATGTTTTATCTTTCCAAATGTACGCGGAGTCGTATACTGCATTCGTAACTACGCCGTAAGCTGAAGAAACGCGATAAGTACGGAAAATCCAAATGCTAAATAGGTGAACACCCACACAAAACTATTACTGTGAAATGTGTCTCACCTTGTTCAGAATTATAATGCTTACCTTCCGGGTAACTGCTTTTGCAAGGCTGATTCCTGTGCGGAAGTTCTTCTCTCCAATGCTTGTGGAGCCATCAAAGAGGAAGAATACATAGTATGTGTCCGGATTTATCCCATTCAATGTAATAATCCTTCCTGTTGGTTCCTTATTGTCGGTGACAGTGGCATTGCCTCTCTTAGAAATAGTGCCCACCTCCTTTGTAATGATATTTTTTACGGAACGTGGTGAGTCGTAGTAAAATTTTCCTGTGAACAAAAATTGAAAGATAATTACCACAGAAATAATATAAAATGTTGCTTATCTTCATCAGCGAACATGCCGCAGTGTGCAATCATCTCTTATTATAATTGCAGACGTTCGTGAACAAGCTACAACGTTCCATTTGATACCGTTACAGATTTAGCGTTGTGTACAGGCACAAGCATGCTCATCTCAAGATAACAAAATTAGCATTCGATGTAACAGTCTGAATTTTGATGTGAAATATTGGCAATGCAACGCCACATTTATTTCATAGTAGTGGGGCTTTTTTGAAGCAGATATACTTTGAACTACTTCGTTACTTCTTGCCAGACATGATTGATTTCTAAATATGCATTATCGCTCGAAATCAAGCACGTGCTTCAGAGTGATAAGCTCGTACTAAAGTTATTACCAAAACTAGAATAATTTAGGTGCTTCAATAGTAAAACCGGAACATCTTTGGCACTCGATCGTAATTGGCACACCAGTGCAGGCTCGTATTCACTGGCCTTTCACGAAAGTAATAAGAAATAAGCTGGCTTGCACTGGTCACATTGAAGCCTACACTGGCCGCTGTTGGTTTCACTGCAGAGAAGCTGAGTCACATAACACGCTAGAAACGCTGCAGTCATCACCAGTTTCCTCTGGCGCTTATTGGTGTCTCTATTTTAACTTTTCAAACCTTTGATTCATTACGCAAAACGAGCCACGAGCACAAGAAGGCACTCATGGGCAACGCTGCCTGGCCTCTGTATGTGCCATTTCGTGCCCGGGCGTGTGTCGATTTGTGTTACATCAAGTTTCTTGAAACGAATCCGCACTAAAAGCTCCATGCAACTGTTGTTCACTATGTCAATGCCTCCTAGAAACACTATGCCTGGAAGGTCGCGCTCTTTTTAATGGGCCTTTTCCGCGTAGGTAGTCTGTGCATGTGCGCCGGCCTCGAGGAGGCACGCGCACGGCACGCGCCACGAGTTTTGGTGGCCTAAACGTGACGACACGTGTGGACCAAGGGACATCTGGTGCTGCAAGCATGCAAATGTTTTGCCCAAAGAGAGGCGCAAACGCACGCCTCATAGAGTGCCTACCGGTATGCGGAGAGTGATTTCGCAGTCCAAGAGCCACCAGGTTTGATTTGGTGATCTCCACTTCAGGTGATGTTCGGATACAGTGGATAGAAGAGGGAAGTGTGATGAACGCGCCAGCAAGCGCGTAACGCCTGGGAGGATACCGCCACATAGGGCTGACACTCGTTTGTCCGTCAAATACAAAGGCCGAATACGAAGGCTCAGACACGGTATGTAATGCGTGTGGAGAGGAGGAGGAAATGGCTGAGCATTTCATAATGTTCTGTAAAGATTTCCACTCTATAGTCGAAGATAATGGCACAAAATTTCCCGAAGCATTGTGGTTTAGAGACAGTGACGACAAAATAGACTTTGACGACAGAATAGACAGTGACGACAGAATAGAACAAAATGGTTAGAAATAACCAGGAGGAGACTAACTGATTGATGGCTACAATTGAGGCGCGAGTGAAATTCAATCCTTAAACACATAGTGACAGTACTTAACTTATGGCTAGGTGGTGTGAGCCACCACTCGATGTAAAGGCCACAGCCGGATACATCCATCCATTCATACGTCACCCAAGCCGGCCATGCGCTGCTCCAAGACGGGATCCACCACGTGCGTGGGCAATGGGAAATGTTTAAAATATATGTGGTTGCTCGTGCAAATTTTCAAGCAGTGACCGATAAAATATGGTGATTAGCTTACGAAATCCTACGATGCCTACGTGGATGCGCGACTGAACTGCAATATTGAAAGAATGCAGAGAGCGAGCGTTTAACAGCATTGAACAATTTTATCAATGTGAGGTGGTAAAAGAGTGGAACGATGAACTCAGTTCTGAGTCATGGCTTGCAACACCTTCCATGGCGAACCATCATTTGCTCAAGCACTAATCTGTAAATATGGACCCGTCAATCATAACGTCAAACTCAGAGACGAGCGGTATTTAGGCGAAAACCTTTTCTTTTCTGCACACTGGTCATTACACGCTTTTGCGAGAATTGACTCGCTATCTGTTTACAACAATGCATTGTTATTAAGTGGTCGTCCATCTTTTTTATCTAAAAAGATAAGTTTCATAGTTCATGAGCGCCCTACAGGACGTTGTTTCCCTTGGGCTGGAAGCCTATGTGACGCACTTGAGATTCAGGTGCTTCCTCTTTTCACGGGAAGATGCTCGCTTCTTGTGGAGCACCTTTGTGTAGAGACGCAAATAGGTGAGCAATAAAAACTTCTTCAGTTGATTGGTGAGGTTTGGACCATGTCGTGCGCAGCTCAGTGATATATATATATATATATATATATATATATATATATATATATATATATATATATATATATATATATATATATTCAATCAGGAAATGAGCTTCTGCGAAGGGCTTCACCGAAATGCGGAGAGCTTCTTTGAAAGGCCAACCCATGGCGTCCGCACAAGAGACGCAAATGTCCCCTGTATTCACCTGGAAAGGGGGCGCTAAATCTGCTCTGCACATTGACTAGGCAGCGCAGCACTCCTTTAGTCATCTAAAAGGGGGTGCAAAATCTGCTCACACTGAATGAATAGGGTGGGGGTGCCCCGCAATAAACCTTAGCCCCCCCTCCCCTAGGAACCGCAAGCGTGCCTATGAGCCTACCCATTTCAATGCGGACCATTTCGTCATTCACATATTGTGAGAAGAGAAGAGCCTGCACCACTACTGTATCGCAGGTTCCGTCATTCACAGTAAGCTCGAAGTGTCGGGAGATGTACCTCTCGTCGAAGTCTAGCTCGAACACAGCCAAGTTTTCTTGAAGCAGCTTGTCAGCACGCGAGATAACTCTTGGCCACTGTGCACAGCTTCGTTCTTTTGAACGCCCTATTTATAAAAACCTTATTTGTAGCCTGTAGTGCACCCTGGGAACGAAAAATTGACCATGTTTTCGCGCCTTGAGTGTTCATTCAGAAGCAGTGGTGTGAGAGTGCCACCGCAATAAAAAAACGAGGATGAACGCGTCTGACGAAACAGTCGGAAACGTGCCAATAACGTAGAAACGACTGCGCGCACCTCCACGTGGCTCCTCCTCAGCGGCTTCAGTGCAGTCCATAAGCACCGTTTGCCGCTCATCACACTTATATAGTCTAGCCACTGTAGTTGGACTAGAAAAAGGGCCAGCACGCAATCTCTGAGGTCATGTCTTCTGTAGCGTGTTGCGACCGGCCGCCGCGTGTGACCGCTCACCTCCGTACCACTTAGTCACGTGGCATCACCGTACCGCTCTGTCAGGTGACATCACAGCTGCTCGGGGGCAACTCTGACAGCATTGCTTTATACGCAGGGGGTGCATGCCAGGGGCGTTCATCTTCGTATCAGTGGGGGAGAATAAAATCCGAAAGTAGGGCAGCACGTTCATGTCCCACGCTCGAGGCATAGTTTTTTTGGAGTATGTTTACGCTAGTGCCACACACGCTGGCTCGAGGCATGACCTTGAGCTCCGTGTGCTCCGTAGTTGCTTGGTGTTGTGACCCTGCTCGTACACCTGTTCAGCTCTAGCACGCGCCTCGCGCTAACATGCCGATGTGGCTGCTGCAGTGGGCAGTCTCCTTCATTAAAGAAGGGTCTTTATAGGGTTACGTGCGTCAGACATCTTGCATTTTAGGGGAAAAGCTCCTTTTAGTATAACTTTGTACTGCGTAAGGCTTAACAGGCGGTGTCACACAGACAGACAGACAGGCAGACAGACAAACAGACAGACAGACAGACAGACAGACAGACACAGACAGACAGGTGAACGAACGGACGTATGGACAGGCTGAAAGACACACAGACAGAGAGGCACACAGACAGACAGATGGGCGCTTCGCGACACTCACCATCATAACTTCTGATATGCTGTGAACATTAAAAAGTTTTGGGCTTCTACTTTTTAAATTTATTTCTTATATACCTTGTCATCAATCTTTTTATTATTGCACTTTTTCCTTTATTCTTCCTTATGAGTAAAGTTCACTTTGGCTTCTGCCCTATTTATTTATTTATTTGGTTGATTTCAGACACTTGTCGTACCAATAAGGGCACTTTCATTTATTTCTTTTTCTTCTTTGTCCCATAGTAAAATGAATACATGCGAACGCACCGAAAGTGACAGCGACAAAAACGACCACCTGCTAATACCCCTGTCACACGTAGAAACTTAAGTGCACTTTGAGCGAGCACATTTAGTCGCGAGCGTCATTTGCGCGTTGTGACAAAAGCAAGTTTAGTGTCACTCGCAGCAAAAGTACACTTGCCGGCAAGTCCGTTCCCCAACCCCTGTTGACTGCGACGGCTGGAATGAAGTGTGTAGCCTCGGTAACAGTGGCTTGTACAGAAAGGCGCTGTTGCCTAAAGCGGCGCTCATAATATTGTCACGAGTGGTTGTGTTTATTTACAGATGAAGTGAAATGGTGTTGGGAAAGAGCAGCGTACTTCTAAGGCAGGCCTAGTCCGGTTCACCCAAGCACACAATTCAAGCGCCACTTCACTACTCTTCTTCTTCTTCCGCGCCCCGTAAGCTCGCGCATCTTCGTTGCATTTCCTCCGGCGGCAGACGAAGCTCTCCGAGCGAGTTAAATATGCCTATGATGGTACTGCTTGAGGTGGGCTACGTGCACAATTTCCGTAGTAGTGACTCGGGCGACAACGTAATTCACGTCACTGAGACAAGTGACTATCACGTACGGGCCGAAATAGTTTGCTAGAAACTTGCGGTACAATCCTTTTCTGCAAACAGGAGTCCACAGTCAAACCTAGTCATCGGGAGAAACCTCTACGGCGATATGCCTGGCATCGTAGCGACCCTTGCTGTGTTCTTGAGCAGGCAGTGTTCGAAGGCGTGCTAGTTACGTGCTTCTTCAGCACGACACAACGTCTGAGCGATGGACAGATCTTCCTGATACGAGAAAAGT